TAAAAATTATTCATAGGTCATAAACTTAGAAGTAGTAAACAATATCACTTTTCCTTTTTATCATGAATGTCCATAAACATTTTCTTTATTGGTCTACCAATCAAATGAACTAAAATAGTTTAGATGCAGGTATAGGTCAGGACAAGCTCAGGGATATGGAAGATTCTCCTCACATCTAGGAATAGTTCTTGCTTGAGTGGATAGTTGCAGTGTGCTAATGAAAATTACCCTTTTCATGGTGCTAAAATAAAATACCTTTGAGCTCATAACAATAAACATTTATTTTCTCTGAGTTCCCGAAAATATGAAGTCCATAATCAAGTCACTGGCAGACTCTGTCTGGAACAGAACCCATTTCCCATTTCATAGATGGGATCTTTTTGCTGTGTTCCCACATGGTGAAAGGTGCAAACAAGCTCTCTAGAGCTTATTTTATAAGGCTAGTAATTCCATTCCTAAGAGCTTTCTTGACCCTTGACCTAACCACTTTTGCAAAGAACCTACTTTCTAATACCAACTCTTTAGGAATGGCACAATCCCTTTAGGATTTTAACATTTGAATTTTGGGAAGACACAAAAATTCAAATGGGTAGCTAGGCTCTAAAGTATTAATGCATGGGAAAATCTTAGAAATTACTCATAAAGCCAAAATTTAACATGGGATACGGTAGTTGGGTTAAACTTTACAAAATATACTCATTTTGTTTCCAAGGAGAGAAAGACTGAGTTGGGTTGCAGCAGTAGTGCAAACTTATTATTATTTAGTGATTCTAGTATCTCATTCATGCAAAAACCTAATGGGTCATATCACACTGAAGTTAAGGAAAGTCAAATAGTCTCCTTGGAGCTGTTTTAACTGGGATTTTCTGGAAGACTGGTGCACTCGGCAACATGGTGTAGCTTCTGGAAATGCCTCTGAAAAACTCAGCACTGTTGTTAGATTTTTCTCTGTGTCTTTAATTCTTATAATAAGACCAGCAGAGTAATCTGATGAAGAAAGCTAAGGTATGCAAGATTTCATCAGACAGGGCTGCACCCACGGCCTCTGGAAATTTTCACCCCATGGTTGGGAACCTTGAGTGCCTATCTGGAGATCAGGAGCTGTAGCACCTCACTCATCGTCCCGGCTCCACATGGCAAAGGAGGGGGATGTTTCCTGTATTAAATACACCTCGCTGCAGCAAACTGACTCAGATGTGGTATTTTAATTGGCATTTAAAAGAATTATTATTTAATTAAAGCAAAGGCTAATTAATTTTCTGAGTCACTGTGAAAAAGATGCTAAACTCCAGTCAAAACCAGTGTAATGGGATATAATCAAATACTCAATTTGGTGCCTTCAGGAGGTCAATTTTATTTCTTTTATTTTCTTATCTAAGAGGATACTGGTCTTAGAAATAAATTAAAGTAGAATATTTGGGTTCATTAAATGTCACAGCGAACAAGGAACTCAATTCATTTTATAGGTAGGAAAAACTGAAACCAGAGAGGAAAATGATGGTACCTAAGACCACATATCTCATTAAGGCTGAGCCAGTGGTTCTTCGTCCCCACTCCTGTGCTCATGCCATTGGACTTAGAAACATGAGCTATCAGAGAGGACCTGCAAGATGCTGGCACCAGAAACAACTCCAGGGATTATCCTTCCAACATTTCTATTTTATTGTTTGGCCACTGAGGAATGCAAGGAAAAACTTTGTCAGGTCACATAGTTGGGCTAAGATGACAGCCCCAGTTTCTGCTCTGGTCAGTTGTCATTACTCAGTCTTTAGAGGGAATCCTAAAGACAAGAGGGCTTTTATGTCCAATGTGTTCTACACACCATTTCTGTGATTACCAAATTACCTAAATAAAGACTTTGGGAAGACACTTCTCTTTTCTATGCAGAGAAATGTTGAGTGATGCATGAGATAGACCCTCTGTCCTGCTCCGGCCCAGCACTCTACCCTAGATAACTTTCACTCATTCAGAGATCAGTCCTTCCATGAAGAATCCATGATATTCCCTTGACAATTAAGTCCTATCTGCATCTTGTCATAAATTTTTAGCCTTCTTATAAATTTTCAGGATTTACTTCTCTATAGTCAGTTTTTTCTTCACTCTTATCAGTACATGTTTGTGATATATAATAAATACACTCAATGGGTATTACTACATATACATATCACATCTTTATCCCCATTACTTTGTAAAAGTCTCAAATATAGGATCATAGCTATCTTCTACTTCTGTTACTCTCTCTCTCTCTCTCTCTTTCTCTCTCTCTCTCTCTCATACTGAGTATCTGACACACAGGTTCAGAATAAATTCCTCACTGCAGTGATTTCTGAAGGACCCGGAATGCAATAGATTAGTAAAGATCAGATTTCTGCAATGTGATGGCTAGGAAGAGTCAAAGAAGCAAGTTTTAAAACTAAACCAATTCATTTGCTTACTTTGTCTTTTAGGTACTCAATTTCTTCACCTGGGAATGGTCATTATAATACCTACTTCATCATGTTGCCATAACGATGAAAGGAAGCAACTATACAAGACACTTTCATAATACCTGATAAAGAGTAAATGTACAAGCAATGAATCCTAGCTTCCATACCACTTTAGAATGTAGAACTAAAAATCTCCAATTGCCTCTGTTATTATGGAGTGATGGCCCTCACACTCCTACTGATTTTTCAGCTCTTTGCAACTTTGCTGAGAATGTTAGACAGGTAGAAAGAATCCTGTCTGTTGTTTCTGTCCCACCATGTTCTTTGTCTGAAATGCTTTGTTATGCATTTCTCAGAGGTGTTTGTTTGTTTGTTTGTTTTAGAAAGGAGTGGCTCTGGAAAAATCTATGCATTTGTCCCAATTCTAATTTAGCTCTTCTTTTTTCCTGACTAATCCAAGGTAATAAAGAAGTTCATGTTGACCTGTTGTTGAAAGCTTCTAGGTAAATTTCCACTGATTACAGAGAGAAAACAAAGTCAAGGTGCTTCTGTGAATAGTCTGTTCCTTGGCCATGAATTTAGCCAGAGTGAAGAAATCCGGCCTCACCTGAAATGCTTTGCCTCCTGTTAGGTGCTGAGGTACAGCTTGCATATCAGCCCTGGCCATGCCCTGGGGAATGGGGCTAGTGTCAAGTTCTCTCTTCAGAAGTATGTGTATGACTCTGAACTACACATCGGGATGAGTTTTGGATGACTGACAATGTGGAGAAGGAGAGTAGGTGAAATCTGTCTGCAACTGTTGCCTCAAGAGTTTCGCATGTTTTCCGACACCAAGACCTCCCATATTTGAGATCGGTGAGTTGCTCAGACTTATTTTAATGAATCATTTGGATCTGTGGGTCTCTGCCAGAAGCTTAGGGGACTTTGTAACTGCTGTACCAGGGGCAAGAGACTTTAATGAACTGTAGGGACAATCCAACAAGGAAGCCTGACTCTTTCTCAAACGGCCCGAGGGGCATTGCAAAATTCAAGGGTGGGAGGTGGAGCACAAGCTGTGGATCAATCTAGAGACAAGCAAGGGCAAGATGGGAAAAAAGAAAAAGAATTCTCAGAGAAGAGTTGAACCTCTCAGACATAGGTTCTGAGAGTGAGGGAGGAACATAGTCATTCTTACATGAAAAAGCTATGAATCTTGATATTCTACAAAGGTTCTATCTGGAAAAATTCTCACAAAAGAGACACCTCTTCTTCCCCACATCCATAGTAAAAGGACTTTCTAACAGGCAGGAAACAAAAGGTTCTATTTAGGCAGCAACACAAAATGGGGAAGTCTTGAGTTTTAGAATGAAGAAAGACTAATTTTCACTCTCAGTTCTTCTCCAATTAGTCAGCGGAGCAAATCATTTAACCCTTAACTTAGCTTTCTTAGATATAATAAAAATGGAATATCAGCCACAGGGTGTTGTTGCAAAGATCAAATTGGGTCAGATATATAAACACACTTCACAAACCAATGCTCATAGAAGAGATGTTACTTCCTTTTCCTTATTCAATTTCTTTTTTTATTAAGTTTTATTAGTACTGTTATTAGTGACAGTTAAAGAAGGCAGTAGAGGCAATCAAGTCACAAAAAAAGTTGGAATATCTTCCCCAAAGAAATATTTAAATTGCTTTTCCTTTGGGCCAAAGAAAAGATGACACAGGATTAACAATGTATCAAACTTTTCCTTTGTGTCAAGTGTTTTGTCTTAATTATTTTCTTTCATATTCACAATGACCCGTTTGGAGGGAGCATACCAATTCCCATTTTACAAATGAAGACACTGAGGCTCCACGAAGTTACTTTCCCAAAATGACACAATTGGCGAGCTGGAGAATCTAGGGCTCCTAACCCCAAGCACTTTCCACCTCGCTGTCTCAAGCAGTTCAAGAGCCTTGGGATGAAAAAGCAAACATATACATGTGTATTCCAGAAGATGGCAAAGGAGTGGAAAATGTGGATGGTTTGGGAAGTATTTCTGGAGAAAGCTTGAGCTTGAGCTACATTTTGCAATGTATAAATGTAAGAATGCAGAATATTCCAGACCTAAGAAAAAGAAGTACCAAGGCTCAGGAATAGTAAGATGTAGAGTATATTCAAGGAATGGTGTCTCAATGTGTGCTACATGTCTAAATTGCTGAAGTAACCTTCTACCGACCTTCAAAACCTGAATTCTTTCCTGATTCCATGAGGTAGGTGAAAGAAAATGAGCTGAAACAGGAGCACCTGAGGTAGGGCTTTATTGGAGAAGGAGCTGCCAGGCTGGGGCTGCCTCGAACAATGGCGAGAGAGGGCGAGACTACCTGGGG